TCATGTGAATCTGCTAATTCTGCTGATATAATTGATTTGCTTGATGTCCTGTGAATCTGCTAATTCTGCTGATATAATTGATTTTGGAAAATTTTTCAAATCAAACGTGTGGTTACTAAGTTTATCAATTGATTACCAGACTTAAGATTTGGAAATCCTTGAAACTCGCGACCGCACATGATCTGATTACAAAATTTCTCATACCAATCTATAGTTCAAAATATAAACAAAAATTACTCTCTCAGTTTTTTTTCTTCTAAAAGTACCACAACACGCAAAATAAAATGGAAAATAGCCCCTGCAAATGCTTCATACATAGCCTTATTAATAGCTGACACACTAATTCTTTCAATGTGGAAAAAGGCGAAGCAGTTAATGGTTATTTGTTTAACAGCTTCCTCTTGTAGATTTATTTAATGGGTTTATTTGTTTAAAGTGTTTCGATTGATATTTCACATTGGAGTTCCCATAAATACCGCCTTTTAAGTCAAATATGTAATATTTTTTTTGACTTGCCTCATCGCAGATGAAGAGGAAGCTGCCTAAAGTTAATCGCACTCTGGCATCCCGAATTCTTGAAGAGGAAGAAGAGCAGAATGACAAAGTTGCTGATGGTGCTGATGTTCAGACTACAACAGATGCTAAGAAAACATCAAAGAAAAAGAGAGGTCTTACCAGTGAAGTTCTTAAAGATGAGAGATTTACAGTACTGTTTAAAAATAAGGTGCGTAGAGTACTTGTCTTTCATTGTTATTGTTGTTTGACCAAAAGGTTCTTTTCATGGGTAATTTGTGAAGAAACAACATAGAAGCATGTGAATGCACATAGGAAGGAATTAATATAATATTGTATGAAGATTAGAGATTTATTGTCATGGAGATAAAATCAACTGTTAAATTAAAAAAATAAAAATTGATAAGCAGCAAATTATATTTGATAATGAATTTGAGATTATTTTATTTGATACGGCTGCACAATTCAGAGACTTGATAACAGTATGTATATTACCTCTATTGTCATGTTATGAAATGTATTGGAAAATATGTTGCAGGACTTTGAGGTTGATGAGTCGTCAAAAGAATACATGGCTCTGCACCCTATGGCAACAACAACAAAGAAAACATCTTTGCTGGAGGAGCATTTTGAAACAGTTGAAGGAGAGGATGAAGAGAGCGTTAGTGGTTCTGATGGAACTGGATCGTCAGATGATGAGAATAGCAATTCCAAATTGAAGAAAAAAGTACAAGCTCCTCCTAGGTGAGAGAAAATACCAATACTAAGAGATTTTTGAACAATACTCTGTAATTAATGATTTTTGAATAATACTCTAGGTTATATGAAGTGAAGGATAAAAGGCACGCAGAAGCATTCTGGAATAATAAATCACTTGAAGGTGAGGATTCTCTTCCTTTGGGGGAAAGGGCAGCTGCTCTCAATAAGCAACCACAGAGAAGTTCAAGGGATGTGGTCAAACAGGGACAAGGAGGTTCACGAGAGATCTCTTTCAATCCCAGAAGCTCCGCCAGATTCAACGAGTATGACGACGATGACCGGAGCGCACGTCCTGATAAGACTAGGAGAGGTGTTGGATCACTGAAACTACCTTCTTCCGGTGGTAGAGGTGGTGGCAGAGGTGGTGGTAGAGGTGGTGGCAGAGGTGGTGGTGGCTTCCGTGGCAAGAGCAGAGGAAGAGGCCGTCGCTAAATCTACCACAAACACAGAGATTCCCAAAAAGCCAAGAATGCATTGGTTTGTGTGGTTAGAATAGAATGGACCAGAAATTACGAATAGGGACATGGTGGGGCGGGCTCGAAACTTGCGATGTAAGAACCCATCATTATCAGATTTATACCAGTATACAACAAATGAACTGATTTGTATAACCTTGTGTAATTTATCGACAGGATATTGTTGTGGTCTTTTTCTAGTTTTTCTTGACTTGTAATGTTATTTCATTCAAATTTTGATGGACTTCAAGTTCTCATTTATTTTCGTTTCATTGCCTTTTGTCTTTTAACTGTTTGAAATTCTGACATCAGCTAAGATATATTTATTTCCTTTAATTTATAAAAAAATCATACACGGGAATTAGCTTTTTTTCCCAATTTCTTAGGTATGACTGACCATCCTGAAAACTCTGGGTAAGAAAAGGTATGCACTTGCAAACAATGGATAAACACAGATTTTGTTATTTTCTAATGAACAGACTAGATATAAAGAGGATCAATAATGATTACGTTTAAACAGTCCCCAGTTTATTTGATCAGGAGGAAAACCAAGTAAAGGGTGCGAGCATACGGAAAAGATCAGCAGATGTTCAACTAATCAAAATCACTGTCACTTAAAACAAACAATCGCAACCCACGACAGCACAATTCACATTAGATGGGTTGTATTTGACGCTCTACATATTTTTTCAAAGAAGTATACATAGTTCATAAACTATGCAATAAAGTTCTGAATCATGCCGTATTTCTCTAACACAGAATGAGGAATGGAATGACAAAAGCTAATGCAGCAGCAATATCCAGTTAGGACTCCTCAAAATTTTTCACCATAGTAATAAGCTGTCCCAACCATTAGAGCAACAGTAGCACCTTGAACAACCACACGAGCCCGCATTAGTTTCTGACCCAATTGAGAATTTCCCCTTCTGAAACTAATTAGACCTGCTGTGAGCACCCCTGCTGTTATAAAAGCACCTGATAACAAAAAAAAAAAAAACTAATTAGTCGGTGTTTGAGGCAGTCCGAACACTGACTATATGTTTGAATATCAATTTGCAGTGTAAAGTTATTAATAGCTATAAGAACTTGATGGTAAGAAAGAAGCAAGAAGAATCATTAAAATCCTGCTTGAAATCATCCGTAAATTATTTATCCAAACCCATTGAGCAAAACTTGTCATAGATTAGGACCTCACAATGCTTGATATTAACACAAGAATTATGGCTTAACCTTATCACCATTTGAAACCAATATTTTGCATAGCACACCAAAGGGCTACCTCATCTAGAACATACAACATTGCTTTTGTTTGAGCAAAATCTTGTACGTCCCGTCATTAAGTAATATCAACACAGACAAAAGTGATTCATCTTAGGGTTGAGCAACATGAACAAGTCTAAGTGCCGAACACAGTTACAGCTAGACAAATTGGCAAGATAAAAAGCTATTCCGAAATTGTTTGTACAGATTAAAAAAGAAAAAAAATGGAAACTAGATTCAGAAGAGGATAAGAAACATACCCATGGGGACAAAGGGATTCCTGACACGCTTTTTATCCTGGAATAGGTCTTCTAGTTCAGAGTTGACAGCCCCCATCTGAAGGATGATGATCCATTTATTACTAACTAATTTAAACTAGAGAAAATACCAAGTCTAGTAATTGCCTTTGCTTTCCCAATCATATATTGTAGTAGTAATATGAAGATCATATATTGGGAATTTAATTCAAATGACATCATTACTGGAACCGAAATTTACTGACCTAAGCTTACTGCAGAGATAGCCTTCCAATTCCGTTCTAGATAACCGACAATCCAAATGAATTTTAAACATTGCAGTATTAATATGAAGATCATTTTCTAGGGTTCTTAATTTATTCAGAAATTTGAACCAGTGATCAGAGATCCTTACCTCGAAATTCGGTGATCGGAAAATCGATTCAAGAGAGAAAAGAATAATTTCCGTGGATGAATGCAGAATGCTCTCTCTAGGAATTGTTTCTGCAATTGCGTTGTTTTAATAGGAACCACGTAATTCAAGAATTGGGCTGGAAGCTGCTGGACCTAGGCCCATTATCCTGTTATATCGGTTTCTTGAATCCGGGCTTCTAATTTATCAATCAAAATCACAATTTTTAAATATTAATTGGTCCGAAAATCAAAATCTCATCATACATATTTCAATTTACATTTCTTTTTTACTAATAAAAAAAAAAAAAAAATAGTTCATGAGCTGTGCGTAGAAATTACTGCATACGAAAATTATTATCGATCGTCAGCGGGGCGGTACAACATAATATAAAAGGCTTGGGCGCCGCATTGTTTAAAGGGATCATGACTGCTTGCTGCTGCAACGCCCTCTGTCGGCAATTGGATAACCACGATCCTTTCTTTATTGGACTGTGCATGTACAATTCTGGTAACAGGACACGTTGCACGTGTACACGCTACGTGGACAAAATGTGTCCTCCTCAGCACAATCATGCTCATCATCTAACTACATAGAATATTCCGATTTATATACAAAAGAAGAAGGGTTGTTGTTGTACA